GGCATAATTTTAAAACAATTTTTTTGGTAGTAAATTAAAATAAAAAATAACGCGGGGATTTAGGAGGGTATTTCGGTAATTGTACTGCAAAGATATCAATACAACTTGCACGTGTAGGGGCACTGATGTAAATTCATGTATTTTTTGAATTTACACGTTGATAAACCTGTCCCATCATCACCGGGCCTCCTCTTTCCTCAGCGTATAAAAAGGCTTCACGGCCTTTCTTTCAAAATCTGCAAAATCTTCCATTTCCTCATACGATTCGGAGGTTCTTCATCAGAGTCTTTCTTCATTTGTAAGTATATATACATATATATATATATATTCGATTTAGATTCAGCTTCCATTTTTAGTATATAAGTATAGGTTTCAAGGTTAGTTGATCTCTGTTCTTCCCTTTTTTAAGATTAACAGAGTTGGATTTATAAATATATATACACATACGCCGGTACATACAAAACAGCCGTAGGTTTCTTGTTCTTAGTTCCGAATACTTACTTGCACATAAGCCTTTTATTCGATTCTTGGATTTTTTTTCCAAGGATGAATACTGGAAGTTGTATTGCAGTCAATAGTATGAAACCTTGTTGTAGAATCTTGATTAACTCTAGAAGCTCGTCAATATTCGGCTCTTCTCCTTCAAAATCAAGTTATTCAGTTGTTGATAATCTGTTCAAATCGCGGTCTAGCAAATTGACTCGTCGACGCAATAGATTCCATTGTCATTGTATTTGTAAGTCCCAAGCTGTTGGTTACAAGCGTGCGGTAGATCTGAATCGGAAGGCTTTTTGTGTTTCCTATTCGAATTTGGGTCAATCTAGGGTTTCCAGGGCTAATTTTCGGGTTATTAATAGAGCAGATGGTAATAGCAATAGAGGTTTGTTAGTAATTCCCAAGGTAGCGTCTGATATAAGGAACCACTCAACATCAGTCGATCCTCATGTTAATGAGAAGAGCTTCGAAAAGATTTACATTCAGGGTAGTTTGAATGTGAAAGAATTGATGCTTGAGAGCATTGAGACAGGTAATGGTTTGACGAAAAAGGAAGACGGAAGGCTAGAGGTTAATAAGCCAAATGTGAGTGTAGATGTTGATAATTCAAAGGGTTTGAATGAGACTAAGGTTGAAAGAGAAGTGTCACAGATTGAAAAGGAAGCTTGGCAGTTGCTTCGCAGTGCAGTTGTGAGTTATTGTGGGAATCCGGTGGGTACTGTTGCAGCTAGTGATCCTGCTGACAAGCAACCACTTAACTACGACCAGGTCTTTATTCGTGATTTTGTCCCATCGGCACTTGCCTTTTTGCTTAATGGAGAAGGAGAGATTGTCAAGAATTTTCTTCTTCACACGTTGCAGTTGCAGGTATTTCAACTGCTTAACATCTTACTGTAAGTTATTTATTAATATATTTGTATGAATATGATTATTGTTGTTGCATCTTCAGTTTAAACCATAGCTTGAAATTCTATTTTTTCAAATTTCTTTTGACTTTATGCATTTGATAACTGTTTGGATCTATATGTCAACTAAATAATTCTATTTGCTAGTGCCGTTAAGGCAGGACAAATTAATGGAACTGATGGAATCTTTTAGCGTAGTCAAACCAGATAGAATTCACCATCTACTATAGAATTTTAATGAACGACGATGATTCAGTTTCCCTGTATGATTTTATTTATGGTTCTTAATTCTTGTTATGGTCCATAACATCTATGCCTACTGTTGACGGTTGCCAACTCGTGCAATTTTGTTTTCCATTTCAAACTGCTCTATGGTTACCCTGTTCAACAAGGAGTCATTTCACGGTAAATATTAGTATAGTTCTGCTCATTTATGAAGCTTATTCCCGGGGCATTTTTTCCAAGACATTGGCTTGTGAAGTATTACCATGCAAGACGTAAGCATTGGCTGTCTGAAAAATATAAATTGAATGAAGTTTCATTTTTGGTAGAGTTGGGAGAAAACTGTGGATTGCTATAGCCCTGGGCAAGGTTTGATGCCAGCAAGTTTTAAGGTTCGAACTGCTCCCCTTAAGGGTGGCAGTGGAGCAGTCGAGGAAGTTTTAGACCCTGATTTTGGTGAATCGGCCATTGGCCGTGTCGCCCCTGTTGATTCTGGTAATACGTTAGTTGCATATCTGGATTTTCACCAGATTTTCTTCTCAACCTGGAATTCTACCTTTTTCCCTCCTCAGGTTTCGAGGTTATGTTACCCTCCTTGGGATCTAATATTATATTGTTGCCCTTTGCAGGGCTGTGGTGGATTATTTTGTTGAGAGCATATGGAAGGATCACAGGTGACTATGCACTGCAAGAGAGGGTGGATGTCCAGACCGGCATAAGGCTCGTTCTGAATTTATGTTTAACTGATGGATTTGACATGTTCCCAACTTTGCTTGTCACTGATGGTTCCTGCATGATTGATAGACGGATGGGCATTCATGGGCATCCACTTGAAATCCAAGTAATATTTTCGATAACACTTTCAGTTGAGTGTTTGATGCAGATTTTGTCATTGTGTTATATGTCAGCTCAATATTGCGCTTGACATGGCTACTATAATTGCAGCAATGAGAAACTTAGATATAGGCTGACATTTAGTTGTGCTAATTATGCTTCATGATATTCTTCATTTTCCATGTTCTTGTTATTTTTTGAGGACTATTATATTAGGTTAAATTCGATTTTAAGGACAACAATTAATTAACTGGAAATTTGAGTATTTTTTATCACTTGGAATGATAACTGTTAGCAAAATCAATAGCCTTCTTTTATAAGCATTTATTTCTCTTACAAAAATTTGATGCTTGAGCATGTGACTAGAGATAGGTTTAAAATTTTAGTAGGATCCCTTTATTTTATCAGTAATATCAATTGACATCCTTTTAGTATTATAGTTTTTGAAATATTTTCCCACTGGCTTATGGCCTCAATAGGGAAGAAGGTGCTAAGTTGTGTTATGGCCTACAAGCCACAAACCCAGCTCAAAAAAAATAAAAACTCCACAAACCGAACTCAAAACCAGCAGTTTACTGGTCAAGTTTATACAATGTGGATCTACAGGAAGTTCAAAACAGAGTAGAATCCCCAGTTGACAGCAATTCTGCTGACTCTAGAATTTATCCCTGTTTAGGATAGTCAGATGTTCTCACTCAGGATTTAGGTTTTCGGATCTTTGCTTCAATAGGCCTGTCACCTGATCACGAGTCAGGGAGCCTAATATCTTGGTGGAATGAGTGAAGATTTCCCATGACCCCCTGCTCCAAAACGGGGGCAGATTCTGAAGTCAGCAGAGTTGCTTTTGACTGTGGCTTCTACTCTGTTTTGGACTTCCAATGTGTCCCCCTTGTGTGTACCTGACCGGTAAACCAGTAGGATTTGAGTTTGGATTGTAGCGCGTTTGGTGCATAACTAGTTGCTTCCTGGAAAGGACTCCAGGAAATGAAATTGATGCACTTAAATGGAAGTGAACTGCATAGTTTGCTGATTTTTCATTACACATTTGGTCCACAAAGATACAGATGAATTCATTGTTGTTTTAATTTCATGCTCCTATTTGCTTCATATCAAACTCTTTGCCACTACTTGGATTGTTCTTTTGTCTACAACTGCTGACAGATATAGTTGCTTACAGGCCTTATTTTATTCGGCTTTACGCTGTTCTCGTGAGATGCTTATTGTCAATGATGGAACAAAGAATTTAGTAGCTTCCATCAATAACCGACTGAGTGCACTGTCATTTCATATCAGAGAATACTATTGGGTGGATATGAAGAAAATCAATGAGATCTATCGATACAAAACAGAGGAATATTCTACAGATGCCATCAACAAGTTCAATATATATCCAGATCAAATTCCTTCCTGGCTTGTAGATTGGATCGCTGAAGAAGGAGGTTACTTTATTGGCAATTTGCAACCTGCTCATATGGACTTTAGGTTTTTCACTCTTGGAAATTTGTGGGCCATTGTTTCTTCTCTGGGTACTTCGAAACAGAATGAGGGTATTGTCAATCTGATTGAGGCCAAATGGGATGATATTGTGGCTCAAATGCCTCTTAAGATTTGCTACCCTTCTTTGGAGTCTGAGGAATGGCGTATAATTACTGGCAGTGACCCGAAAAATACGTGAGTTTCTTGATATCTGTCCTTCCAAGTAAATGTCTCTTCCCCCCCACCTCCTACACACACATGCACATCTATATATTTTTACCAGCATGGCAGCTGAATCTGAGTAGCTTTATTAAAGCACTTATCCTCTCTGTTTGTACGCAGTCCCTGGTCATATCACAATGGTGGATCTTGGCCCACGCTTCTTTGGCAGGTAAGCTTAACAATGCAAAAATTGGAGCACACTCCGTCGTTATTTTTGCCGATTAGATTAGACACGCATTGAGAGGGAGTCCGGCATAAGTTCAAACAGAAGAATTTAATAGTTGTAGCAGTCTTGTATTGCTAGTTTAAAAATCGTATGAGTTATTCAACTTACTAAATTTGTAGGTCTTTTAAGTAATAACTTAATTAGATTTGACTAGATTTCATCCCCCAGTATAATTGTCATATTTTGCCATCTCATTAGAAGTCCACGAGAACTGTCCTTGAAGTCTTATGTTTAAAAAAGATGTACTCATACTCATACATATATAATTATTTTACTAAAAATGAACTGAATATCCCTAACATCTGGTTATGGCATTCCAGTTCACATTAAGTTGTATAAAAATGGGGAGACAAGAATTAGCAGAAAAGGCGATTAGCTTGGCAGAAAAAAGGCTATCAGCAGATAAATGGCCGGAATACTACGACACAAGAAGCGGGAGATTTATAGGAAAGCAGTCGAGAGTTTTCCAGACATGGACCATAGCAGGTTTCTTAACCTCAAAAATGCTGTTGGAGAACCCAGAAAAGGCAGCCCTGTTATGGTGGGAAGAGGATTATGAGCTCCTCGAAATGTGTGTTTGCGGACTTGGCAAAACTGGGCGAAAGAAGTGTTCACGCCTCGCTGCAAGATCTCAGATTCGTCCCTGAAATTTTATCATTTGAGAAGTGGCCCTGACACCCCTTACTCACCTCTTTCTGTTTGTTTTTTGGTTTGGGTCTGGCTGGCAGATTTGAGGAAAGCCCAAGGAGAAAGATAACACTTACTTGCTCGAGATTCACGAACCTGTCTGACTCGGAGATGACTTTGACTACAACTCAGCAATAGCTTTACAGTACTTACTACTTACACTCTTGCATTTTGTACCCACTAAATTGTACTATCATTTTTACTTTAGTTAGATGGCTGTGTTTTTTTTTTTTGGAGAGAGCCTTCACCATGTTTGTATTGGTTCCTGTACAGACATAACTTGAATTATTTAGGATTTCACTGTATTATTCAGTACTTCCTTTTCTCTTTTTTTTTTTTTGTTTCTCTTTATGGTAGTCGCCGGACATGTATATGATTGTAATTCGCCGGGATCGAATCAGGATGTCCGTTAATCACCAATAACTTAAAAGTCATGAATTCAGATTTCATTAAACATTTAGAATTTATAACCCTTCAGAGATATTATGAGTTGATGATATTTTGATTTAACGAGTTATGATATATTTAGGTAAAAAGAACATTTCATAATAGTTAAATTCGTTTAATTTCAATAGGCACAATTGAAAAAATATCCGACTTAATCTTTTATCATTAAAAATAATTACATAAAGTTTTCAATTTTTTAAAAATATTATGACTAGTTGGTAGTTGATTAATAATATTTGATTCAATAAAATTATCCCCCGTTAAATTCGTTTTACAACACATTTTTTCAGGCATAATATTCAAAAGTGTTTGTACTTCTTAATACATGTTTCTCAGACCAATTTCAACAACTTTTGAGAATTTTTGACACGCCCACTTCGCAAGAAGAAACTAGCAGCTGATAAATAAAGCAAGATTTCGTGCATCTACTCGAACTTGAAATTCACCCTATTGCATGCCACAAAAAACCATAACACCTCATTCACAGAGCCACAGGCTGCAACTACTAAATATAATAGGAAACTAGGTTAGGTTAGAATGCAAAACAACACTATATATATATATGTGTGTGTGTGTGTGTGTGTTTGTGTGATATGTAGTTTTGTAAGCAGAGGATTATCTTGGGAAGAGTTTAAGTGGTCCTGTAAAGGTTAAGCCGGGTATCTCCCAAGCGCAGAGAATAGGAAGTTTTCTTGTAGTCAGCCCAAGTGAACGGCTTATAAAGACCAGGCTTTTGAGGTGTTAGCATCTCTGGAGGAGCTTTTATTAATGTGTCGAGCGGCGGTCCTCCGAAATAAGCCATTGATATCCTACTCTTCTCCCTGCTGCTCACTACGGCTCTATGCCTCACACTCACCAGCCTTCCGTTTGTCATTGCCTTCCAACATTTTTTTCAAGACACATTAATTAGTTCCCTCTTCCCGACCCAGAAAAAGAAATGAACTTGCGATAAAACAACATGTAATGAAACTTGTAAGGGTGGTCGAAACCGAGTAAAACAACACTACTGGACAAAAACCCATTAGTTAGATGTAGGTAGTTTTAAAAGATTAACTTAGAAACAAACAGTAAATTACCTCAGTAATTATTTCTAACGGTAAAAATATGGAATTGGGTTGGAATTACAGTCAAGATTTTTATCCAGAAGAAATTGGTCGATAGAAAAAAACCCTAGAAACTGGTCATGTTGCCTAACCAGTCAGACACTTTTTAGTTCCATTTTTCTGTAACATCTCTTTTCCTCATTGAGTAGAAACTGGTGGTACGTGGGTCCTCTATTGCTTACAGATTTAAATATAATGAATTTAATATTATTAAAAAGTAATATAACAATCGGAATCTACAAGAAATTACAGTGGTTCCCCGTCAATCCCATTTTACCCTTTTGAGACAACTGTGGTAATACTTATAAGTTCCATTCCCATGGTGATTTGATGTAAAAGTAACTCTATCACGGTTGCTTTCTTTTTCTACAGTCTGATTAAGTAATAATAATGCAAATAAGAACGTATATACATATATATATATATATAAAAGTATAGTTCTAACGAGGGTGGTGAAAATGGTAAAAGTAGGGGGAAGAGAACCAACCTGTAAGAGGTCACCCACATTGACATAAAAGGCAGTGGGATCAGGTGAGACCGGGACCCACACTCCATCAGAGAGAGAAATCTGGAGACCGCCCACGTCGTTGGATCTGAGTATGGTCAAGATCTGAGGGTCAGAATGCTCCCCGAATCCAACCTTGGAGAGAGCAGAAGGCGATGATGACGTGTCGTCATCAGCCAGCAGGGGCGGGTAGTGATTGAGCCTCAACACTGAATCGCTATCGACGGCTCTGATCAGATCACTGAACAAGGATGTCTGGGGGATTCCCAACCCCTCTGCCATCAGATCCAAGATTTCACATGCCACCCCTGTAACTGCTTGTATGTAACTATTCACCACAGAGCTGTCACAAAATCACCATCAACTGTCACGTAAGTTTTTTTTTTTTTTTTTTAATACAAATTATGTGGATAAAGGTATGAAACAGGGTTGTCACTGTCACTCTAGCGAGAGGAGGCTGCAGGGTAGGATTGATAAAGTCACAGTGACAGACAGCGATAGACCCCCCCACCCCCCTTCCCTTTCCCCTATTTGCCTATATTATTACTTCAATTGGTAAAATAGGTAATTCCCACTTCTCTCTGGTTTGGGAAGGACTCTTCCTCCTTTCATTTAGGGCAATTATTGTTGCATTCTTCTACACATGTGCTTTCCATATTTATATTCACAAAATAACCCACGGTTACTTTAGCATTAAATTTTTAATTTTTCCAAATAAAATATTTTTTTTAAAAAAAAACCCACTATTAATTTAGGATAATAACTCAAACCCTTAATTTTTTTTAAAAAAATAAAGAAAATATACTAAATTAAATATAAAATATTATTATAACTTATTATAAATTCGAATTAAACTACACATTATTATTAACAAAATAATATTATAATAAATATATAAATAAAACACATAAATTCACACAAAGAAAACATACAATAAGATGTATTTAAAAAAAAAATGAATTTAATAAATTCCACTATGTAAATTATTCATCTCTAAATTAAAAAATAGTTGTTCCATGTGATTTCTAAGTTTTTTATTATACCCTATTAAACTCATATATATATATATATATGTACACACACACACATAAGTATGGTTTATGTATGTATATATTTTAAATTCTCTCTATTGTTATTAATTAATCTAGTTATTTTTTTATATAAGCTATTTGACTTTTCTCTACCAATTGGTTTTTCTAATCATACTTTTCTCTTAATTTGGTAAAAAATTGTCTATAAATAAATCTATGTATACATACATATATATATATATTAGTCCGAGAATAATTATATATAAGTAACTTATAATAATTACTATATATGTTAGTATATAGATGTAATATGTTACTACTAATTTAAGTAAAAAAACACATTACAGTATGACTCAATTATAAGTTATGTTTACTTAATTTGTTATGTGCTTAGGACTTCGAACCCATAAAATAACACCCAAAAAATAGAAATTCTACATTGAAAACACCAAAACAAAATAATAGTTTCAATAAACTCAAACCCAACTCACCATTATATATATACATATATAGGTATATATGTATTAAAGGTATAGTTATAGCGTGTGTATATAAAATATCATGCATGCACACACACACACACACACACACACATAGTTCTATATGCATAATTAGCAATAAGCAAATTAACTAGTTAGGTCTAATTACAAGGCTACAGATGTATATATACATATATGATTCTTTTGATCAATGCATACATATATATATATATATATTATTTAACCACTAATTCATCATGAACGTAATTAATTAATCTCATTCATAAAGCAAGAATTTATGAATGTTAAACTAAATATAAATGTCCAACTTATTACAAGGTTATTAATCTTATACTCCGTTTAAGTTATATTTTTATATATATATATATGTATATATATATATTGAAGATTTGTTTATATATACATACGTTTTATTAGTTAACAATAATATACAACTTGCTATAATTTCTATCTTTACTTTGATATGTGGAAAGTTAGATAAACCAAAAGCATATATGTAGATAGAACATACATACATAAGAATATAGAACATGAAATGAACTGAAACATACGTACATGCGATTAATATACACGTGTATATGTATACGAAGTTACCTGAACTTTGGCGGGTCATTAGAGAGAGTTCTGGATCTTTGGGCAATGGCTAGAGGATTAGCAGGAAGAAGAAGATACTCAACCTCTCCCATGTCGCCATTAAAGCCAATATTCTTAAAGCCATAGCCAAAAGGGTTTGCAGGTCCACCTCCCTGCTTCTCAGCTAAAGGCTTAGCGAAGAAGTTAACACTCTCCTCCTCCATCTTCTTAACGATATCTTCTGCGACGCCATGGTTGATTACCTTGAAGAAACCGTACTCTTGGCTGGCCTTCACGATCAGCTTCGACGACTCAGCTCTGTCGAGCGACAGGTCCACCATGGGAAGCTCCAAAGCTTGAGTCTTTTCTGAGCTCCGAATATTCGGGCTTGGAGCAACGACTACCATGGTGATAATGTTGCAGAGAGAAGATGATTTATATCGAAAGAAGAAGAAGAAGAAGAAGAAGAAGAAGGAGGGTAGTCAAATATTTTCAAACATTAAAACCTACAGCAGCTTTAATATCTTGTTTAGATAAAAGAGTTAAAACTCATTATATTAAAAATTTAAATATATTAAATATAAATAATTAATTATTTGTAAATTAATATTTATTTATACACAAATTCAAAAAGTAATTATTGATTACGTAATTATTATAATTTATTAATTTTTTTTGTTATATATTTGAATTTCTATTTTTTTTTTCATAAATATCTTTGAAAAATTTCTCTCTCACATTCCATGCTTGATTTTACAAAGAAAAGAATTTCTTGGATTATCAAATTCCACCACTGTTGACTTTGACCAAACCTCACCAAAAAAGTCATTCCCGTTCGCACTTCTAAACTCCCACGTGTCACCTTTCGAGTGGCTGATTAATTATTAAAATAATTAACTCCCACTGAATCACACGTGTCACTTTTTGAGTGGCTGATTAATTATAAAAATAATAATTATTTTTAATTCGATTTCTCGGTTTCCTCAAATGTCTTTGGCAAATGAGTTATAAGAAAGGTGACGGAATGCAACACATCAAAATTCGAGCACATAATTTTTTAATTCATATTAATTATAAAATTAATTTATGAGTAATAATTAATAATAATGAAATAATTAATAATAATGACAGATCATAAGATCGGATCAAGAAATTAAAATAAAAAATATTTAATCTAATATTAAAACCACATATTAATCTATATATATATTTATACATATGTTACCAAGAAATTAATTCATATATTTTCCCGAATAGTGAAATTATCAGATATATTTATATATGTATAAATACAAACTTAAAAACTTTTTTTTTTAAATATAAAATATCTTTAAAATATAACTAATATCAAAATAAAATAAAATTAAAATATATATAAATATTTATATATATGATAGATAAATAGACTTTATATATAATATTATCAGTTTTTTAAAAAAATTAAAATTAAATAAATGTAAATAAAATAATTAATTACAATAATTAAATATTAATTAATTACAATATTTAAGGGCATATATAGCCATGGGATTCCAATAAGCGATCTCACACTTGGTGAGGAGAGCTCATTGGCGATCGATTATGATACTATATATATATATATATATAAAGTGTATATATATTTACATACGTTATGGGTATATGTATGTATACTTTATATAAATATATAAAGTATATGCGAAGTATATTCGTAGAGTATATAGCCATGGCATAAATATATAAGGATTGCATGTATGAAGTGTATATATATATATATATATATATTTACATTTCTAATCACTAAATTAGGTACAATCTAAAGCAAGGGTCAAAGCAAATGCAATATATATATATATATGTATATATAAATAGTTGTTTTGAATATTTTAAAAAATAATTTAAAAAAATAATATAATGATGACTATAAATTATATATACATATATATATATATCATATATTAAATAGAAACTGCTGGTATGGTGTTATTTGTATTGTTGGTTCATTTATATTCCCAGTAGTAAGAATTTACATTGGGCTAATGCTTGGTAAAATTCAGGCTGGCCTAATAAGCCTGTTTTCCCAATAGCCCAGACCTTTCCCCCCCACAACACCCAACCAATACGTTGTCGTTTCTCTCTCTCTCTCTCTCTCTATATATATATATATATATATATCATACTCACATAACATCATTTCATTAGATGCATCAAATAAAATAAAAAGATCAACATGGACACCGAAACTTTACTAATATATTAAGTTATTAATTTTATTAAATTAAATATTATAAATTAATTGCTGTCAGTTCATAATACACTTATAAAATATAAGTTGAAATAAATAAAAGTAAGGTCGAAGAGGGAACCCTTTTGTTTGTGAGATTCTTGAAAAAAAAAGTTATTGAATTTAGGGTAATGTATATGGGTCTTACAAGAGAGGAGAGATTATCATACTCTATATATATATATATATATCATACTCACGTAACATCATTTCATTAGATGCATCAAAGAAAAAGACCAACATGATTACCGAACCTCTATTAATATATTAAATTATTAATTTTATTGAATTAATTATTATAAATTAATTACTGTCAGTTCATAATACACTTATAAAATATTAAATTGAAAAAAAAAAAAATGACGGGGGAGGGATCCCTTTGTTGTGAGATTTCTAAACAAAAAAGTAGTTGAATTTATGGTATATGTATATGGGTCTTACAAGAGGGGGGGAGATTGTGATAATTACCTCTCTTTATATATATATATATATATATGTATCATACTCACGTAATATCATTTTATTATATGCATAAAAAAAAAATAAACATAGTCACCAAATCTCTACTAATATATTAAGTTATTAATTTTGTTAAATTAAGTATTATAAATTAATTACTGTCAATAATACACTTATAAAATACAAGTTATAAATAAAAAAAAAAAAAGAAGAGTAGGTAGGGACCCATAAAAAAAAAAAAAAGAGGAGGAGGTAGGGACCCATTTGTTATGAGATTCCTGAACAAAAAAAAGTGGTTGAATTTAGAGTATATATATATATATATATCATATTCACATAACATTATTTTATTAGATATATAAAAAAAAGATCAATATAGTCGCTAAAATTCTATCAGTATATATTATATTATTAATTTTATTAAATTAAATATTATAAATTAATTACTTTCATTCATAATACACTTATCAAAATACTAAATTGAAATAAAGAAAAAAAGGGAGGGGGGAGGGACCCTCTTGTTGTGAGATTCCTGAACAATGAATTTAGAG